ATATAATATTTTATTTTTTGCCAATTTCTCGCCAATTTCTCGCCAATTTCTCGCTCACTTCTCGCCAAGGCAAAACCCTTGAGCAAGTAAGGATAAAGCATCAAAAAAAATGAATTTGGCACTCGGCACTTAAAAGGGGGGTCGTAGTGCCCCCCAGAAGTTGGTCGATTTTTTCAAAATCTCCCCCCAGTTTATTTCCCAATTTCTAAAACAATAAGACCGTGGGCTTTGCCCACACCCACAAACGCAATGCGTTTGATCATGCCTCTGAAAAGTGAGTAAACAGTCATACCTGTTGGCTTTTCTGTCGGTTTGCAAAAGCTAAATGACAACAAAAAAAGCTGCAAGGGTAAATGCACTCACTACGTTCGCCCTTGCTGCTTTTTCTATTGCCATTTTTAACGCTTATGCCGACGAAAAGACCTAACAGGTATAAATATACTCGAATTGATTTAAAACGTCTTAGAACGCAAATATGAGCTTCTAACGACTTAATTCATCTCTATCTCGTGTTCGAGTTTCATTTCTATGAATTTTTTCAAACTCGCTACCTTTTACAAACTCTTTAATTTCGCTCACAAGGTTATTCATGAGCTTTTTAGCTTGTCCAACAGTTGCACCAAGGGTATTTTCCATAAACTGATTAAAACCTTTGTAAATGCCCTTAATTTCGTTTTTAAGCGATTTATTTTCTTTTTCTAAATCTTCAATTTTTTCAATATTCCGATTACTCTTACTCACCAAATCATTGTAATCACGCACTACTTCCTTGTATTTTTCTTTTACATATTCAATCCGTTTAGGTAAATCAGTTTCCGCATATTTCTTTAGTTTCTCATTCGATTTATATAAATCTTCATAGCCTTGTATTAAGGCATTTAATTTATCTTCAGGGATAATCACATTTCCTGTTTTTCGTTCTTCATTTTTCGTAAATTCATGACGTAACTTACCAATACCAATGGTTTCGCCACTTGGTACTTTGACCGTTTTCGTTTCGTCTTTTAAATCTAAACTTTCTTTCTTGATTGTTGGTGCTTTATCGTTCGATAACGCTAAAACTTCTGACTTTCGCTGTTCCAGCGTGGTAGTCATCTCTTTTAATTCGTCCTTTGCCTTTTTATATTCAGGCACCGTTAAATTTTTACGCTCTGACCCTTTTTCGCCACGTTCAAGCTCAAAACCACGCTCATTTAAATACTTTGGCAACTCGTCTTGTACCGCTTGTAAGGCTTGACGATTAAACACAGTCTTTGCTGATAGCTTGTGTTCGTCATTAAACGGCACAATTCCTAAGTGGATATGCGGTGTCGTTTCGTCCAAGTGAACTTGAGCAAAGCGGATATTATTATCGCCAAATTTGTCCGCAAAATATGATTTCGCAGTATCAAAAAAATCTTTAATTTCTTTATCGTCTTTATCTTTAAAAAATTGGTTGTCAGAAGTTATGATCCA